CGTCAACTGCGAGTCGCCTGACCTCGGGGCCGCGGCAGTGCAGCCCTCGCGTCGACTTTGAACCGACCGATGAGGCGCGTGTGCCTGCCGCCCGTGCCGGGGCAGCTGGCCTGGCCCAGCCCACTCGTCATGACGCGGCACGAGGCCGGCTGAAAGAGGAGATGGACCGGAGCGTGTGACGCCAGAAGGAAGAAGGAGACAAAAAAAACCGCCGCCTCTGCTAGTGCTCAATACGATGCCGAGTAAAGTAGGAGGCTTACGGTTAAATCCGGGAGGACGGAGGAAGCGGACCCGGCGACGCCAGGCGATGGGGCGACCTGAGTGAGACTGGAGAGGCGGCCAGACGAACTTCCATTAAACAGGAGCCAAATACATTTTCAACACGCTCGCCATCCTGTCCTCAAGTCCGTAGACAACTGACACCAATAGCTGGCTGCTAATTGGCCGACTGGTCGGTCCAATTGAATGATTAGTCGGCCCTGCTACTTTGACTGGTCAGTCAGGACACTTTGAATGGCCAGAAGTGTCCACCAATCACATTCGGATTTGCCCCTGGTGGTCTGATGATGAGAGGCGGTTACTTCGACAGAGGGAATTTGGCGTGCCGGATTGAGCCGGCCTGTCTGCAAGCGCTTACAAACAACTCAGCAACGTCGCTCGTTACGGATGCTACTGGACAGACGGCGACTATAAACAAGGCATTAACAGGCTGAGTCTGATAGACAGACACAGTGGGCGCGCTGGGGAAATAAGAATGAATTCTTAATTATTTGTCAAAAACCCCAGGTACAAGGTTCGAAAGGGCATGATGTGAGAGAGCCGATGTGAAGCCGTGCGGAATGGATATGGGAAATTCCTTTGGTGAATCGACGCCTGGCTTCTGTTTTGATATATCAAAGGGTTTACAAAGATGGTTGATTGTATGTGTGTTAGTGATGAAATGAGGACGAGCAAGAGCCTGGAATGGGACAACCGAAACAGTTTCGCTGGAGTGGTCTAGCGAAAATGGGAGACTTTAATAAATGAGAGACGGCTAAGTTCGACAGTTTCTAGATCTCGTTATTTTCAAGTCGGTTGTATAACAAAGTCGCACACCTTCAGCCTAGCAGATCTATTCTTATTGATGCGGACGAAATGGACTGGCGGTTGAAAGAGTTTGCCTGGGACACTTCTTTCATACGCTGAGGTCCGACTGACTGCAGGTGCAGAAAAGAGAAGGAGCCCTCTACGAGAGTGTGACGCAGTACAAGTGGTGCGTCGAGCAGTGGTTATTTGGCCTATAATAATGGTTGGTTCGGTTGATTGTGAGGTAAGATGTTTCAAAGTGTAGATGGACGGTGAGCCGAGGATTTCTTGGTGAGACCACATCACGAATTCCTTCCAACCAACTTTCCCTTTGAAATGGAGAGTCATGCCACAATATTTCATTGGGGAATTTTTCGAAATCCAGTTTTTATTCATAATGAAAAAGAGTTGGAGTAGACCAATTGAAACCCATGAAAAATTCATGTAAATTTGTACTGCTCATAATGCCGCTTTCCTCTTGCGCGACGGACGAAGGATCATCGCCAACCCATCAAAAATCCAGCATGTAGTGCTCAAGATTGCGGCCTTGATAACGATTAGATGTGTCAATAAATCGCCTAACTACTATACGAGAATCAGCGAAAGCAAATTTACTAGTTCGTAGCTGATTTCCATAGCATTTCATTAGCTATTATTCACTTACCTTGGATATATGAGGTAGCCGAGTTGTTAGCCTCCATTCATGAGGTCGACCTATCATTTCCTTCTGGACTAGCCTGCTCAACACACGTCGATGCAAAAAGTACAAAGCATTTACTAGAAGGAGAATATGAAAAAAAT